TGTTTATTTTCAAAGCCATTTATTTCTAAGATGTTTTCTTTTATTTTGTTTCTTTTTGTCTCACTCATATCTAATTCAGCTATGGTACGCGGGGGCGACTATTTTTTAAGACAACTATTAAATTGAATTATAAAAAGTTGCAAATATATTTGTAAAATATCCACCCTGTTGAAATGCTAATCTAATATGAGTAATTCTATTGGTTAATGACTCTGTACGCTTCTACTATTGGTAGGATACAAGGATTAAACAATATATCCTTGTATTCTAGGATACAAGCCTTAGACAATCATACTTCAAATTCAAGATAATTACACCCAGTATTATAATATTATATTCGTTAATATTTTATATTTTAACCAGAACAGACATTGTTTTAAGTTTGATTTGTAATACAGAAATAAAATAGGGAATTGGGGCCACGTTTTGGAACACCGAAGACCAAAAGATTTCAAAATTTACTGTTTTTAAAAGGGTTCCTCACACTCCACTAAATCCCACCGTTTCTTCGGTTAGTATATATACTATATTTGACTGCTGTAGAAACCAAAAGATGAGGGTGTATGTACTGTACTACTCTATCTATGTATTCAAAAATGCCACACAGATTTCAGATGAATTGGAAATATTTTTAAATCCGGCAAATGTAAATATTAATTTCGTTTCTGAAATATCTACAGAACTGGGAACTCAGAACAATAGTAATAATCGTTTGTTTTAAAGATAATTGAAGGATGATTTTTCACATTTCAAAATTCTATGAAAAATGCAGCTGTACATGTAAAACCTAATCTATTTATGAACCTGCATGCAACCTAAAGCAATTTAGAAATATGCAAGTTGCAAATTTGCCATTTTAAAGTTTATAATCACTTTATTTTAGCAGGATGAGAATATTAAACTTGATATTTAAACAGCTCGTCTGATAATGTTTAGTAACCTTGAGATAAACTTTTTCCTATAAACCTGTATCTCAGAAAAGATGGTACAGGACTAAGATATCTCTCTATTTGTTAAAGAGATTAAGATAAGATTCTATGTCTAACTTTTACATACCAATATCCTAGGATACAGGGACTAAACTTTGAATGGTGGATATCGGGATTAATACTTGATCCACACTTTTTCTTAATCTCGAGATTAAATAATGCTTGTTCTCCTCTTGTTATCAATCTCCAGATTAATTAACCGATCGGAATTAAGAATATCTCATTCAACTCTTGTAGTCTAGGATACTAGGATTTACCTTTATCCTTGTATTCTAGGATACTAGGATTTACCTTTATCCTTGTATTCTAGGATACTAAGATTTACCTTTATCCTTGTATTCTAGGATAAAAGGATTTACCTTTATCCTTGTATTCTAGGATACTAGGATGAACCTCCTTGTATTCTAAGATACTAGGATTTACCTTTATTCTTTTATTCTATAATACAAGGATTAACCAATATATTCTTGTATTCTAGGATACTTGGATTTACCTTTATTCTTGTATTCTAGGTTACCAGGATTAACCTCCTTGTATTCTAGGATACTAGGATGAACCTCTTTGTATTCCAGGATACTAGGATTTACCTTTATCCTTGTAATCTAGGATACTAGGATGAACCTCCTTGTATTCTAGGATACTAGAATTAACCTTTATTCTTGTATTCTATGATACAAGGATTAACCAATATATCCTTGTATTCTAGNACTTGAGACTACGCACCACAGGAAACAATTACTAATGCAAATTTATCCTTTCCTTTCTATATCCTTCTATACCCTTCTATACCCTTCTTTACCCTTCTATACACTTCTATGCCCTTCTATACACTTCTTTACCCTTCTATACCCTTCTATACCCTTCTATACCCTTCTATACCCTTCTATACCCTTCTATACCCTTCTGTAGCCTTCTATTCCCTTCTATACACTTCTATAACCTTCTACACCCTTCTATACCCTTCTATACCCTTCTATAGCTGTCTTCTGTACCCTTCTATACCCTTCTATACACTTCTATTCCCTTCTATTCCCTTCTACACCCTTCTATACCCTTCTATACACTTCTATAACCTTCTACACCCTTCTATACCCTTCTATACCCTTCTGTACCCTTCTGTACCCTTCTGTACCCTTCTATACCCTTCTATACCCTTATATACCTTTCTATACCCTTCTATACACTTCTATACCCTTCTATACCCTTCTATACACTTCTATACCCTTCTATACCCTTCTATACCCTTCTATACCCTTCTATACCCTTCTATACCCTTCTATACACTTCTATACCCTTCTATACCCTTCTATACCCTTCTATACCCTTCTATACCCTTCTGTACCCTTCTGTACCCTTCTGTACCCTTCTGTACCCTTCTATACCCTTCTATACCCTGAATAAAAATATGAATAAAAGACGAATTGAACTACAGATCCATGAATAAAAGACGAATTAAACTACAGATCCATGAATAAAAGACAAATTGAACAACAGATCCATGAATAAATGACGAATTGAACTACAGATCCATGAATAAATGACGAATAGAGTAGAACTGACATAATAATAAGAAGGCGGCAAGACAATCACACTAATAGGCCCCCCTGGTTAGTATTGAAGGGATGGAGGGATAAAAGAAGGGGCGGAGAGAAGGAAGGGGGCGTGGAGAAGAGTGGGAGGAAAGGGAGTGTCTAAATAATAGTATAGAATCTAAATTCTTTGTTTGGTTAATGTTTAGTTCACTAGTCAGGTTAGGTTTCTTAATTGCCTTAAGCCTGGATACTGGTTTCGTTCCAGACTGTACCTGGATACAGGTTTGCTAGTTGCATCAGTATCTGGATACAGGTTTCCAGGCTGTATCTGGATACAGATTTCCAGGCTGTATCTGGATACAGATTTCCAGGCTGTATCTGGATACAGATTTCCAGGCTGTATCAGGATATAGGTGAAGTGTAAAGAGGATTTCAAGAGTATTCCTTGATACAGGTTTCCAGGGTGCTCCAAGGGGTATCCAGAATCATGTATCTCATACTTTCTTATCTGACCAACTATATCCTTGAACCACCTTTATTCCTAAGTATTATTGAACCTACTAGAGTATTCTTGAACCAACTAGAGTATCCTTAACCACCTTAGTCCTTTAGTATCCTTGAATAAACTAGAGTATCCTTGAACCAACTAGAGTATCCAATAACCAACTAGAGTATCCTTGAACCAACTAGAGTATCCTTAACCACCTTAGTCCTTATGTATCCTTGAGTAAACTAGAGTATCCTTGAACCAACTAGGGTATCCTTGAACCAACTGAAGTATCCTTGAACCAACCTTAGTCCTTAAGTATCCTTGAACCAACTAGAGTATCCTAGAACCAACTAGAGTATCCTTGAACGAACTAGGGTATCCTCGAACGAGCTAAAGTATCCTAGAACGAACTATGGTATCTTTAAACGAACTAGAGTATCCTTGAACGAACTAGTGTATCCTAGAACGAACTAGGGTATCCTTGAACGAACTGGAGTATCCTTGAACGAACTAGTGTATCCTTGAACCAACTAGGGTATCCTTGAACCAACAAGAGTATCCTTGAACCAACTAGGGTATCCTAAAACGAACTAGGGTATCCTAGAACCAACTAGAGTATCCTTGAACGAACTAGAGTACCCTTGAACCAACTACAGTATCCTTGAACCAACAAGAGTATCCTTGAACCAACTAGGGTATCCTAAAACGAACTAGGGTATCCTAGAACCAACTAGAGTATCCTTGAACGAACTAGATTATTCTTGAACGAACAAGTATCCTAGAACGAACTAGGATATCCTTGAACCAACTAGGGTATCCTAGGGTATGCTGGATTGGATCCATTTTGTGGGAAAACTATTAATTGAATTTTGAAATTGAATCTACACTCTATTATATAGGATAACCCTGCCAATACACTCTTCATGGGCGTAGACATATTTTTACTGGGGGTGGGGGGGGGAGGGGTGAAAAAAGATAAAGTTTCTAGGGATATTATGCTTGTTAGGAGAGAGTATTTTCTGTAAGAAAGAAGAAAACGTTGTGTTAATATTGTGTCAAGTGTGCCCCTGTAGGAAATCAATTATGCCCTGACCCAGATGAGCTTGACACAGCGTGACATCTACCGGTGACTTTGTTAACCAGGAGGAGGGACCAGGGCCTGCCCCACCTCCCACAGGGACGATCTACACAAGCCTTCCTCACTTTTTGACATCTCATCATTTCTGTTTAATGAGGTCGCGGTAATTAAATCTTAGGGTTGAGAAACCCGGAGTTTAGTTGAATTACAGGAAAACTTTTTCACAGGACTATACTCCAGTATATCTGGTTCACAGGAGTATACTCCAGTATACCTGGTTCACAGGAGTATACTCCAGTATATCTGGTTCACAGGTGTATACTCCAGTATACCTGGTTCATAGAAGTATACCCCAGTATAACTGTTTCACAGGAGAATATTCCAGTATACCTGGTTCACAGGAGTATACTCCAGTATACCTGGTTCAAAAGAGTATACTGCAGTAAACCTGGTTCAAAGGAGTATACTCCAGTATACCTGGTTCACAGGAGTATACTCCAGTATATCTGGTTCACAGGTGTATACTCCAGTATACCTGGTTCATAGGAGTATACCCCAGTATAACTGTTTCACAGGAGAATATTCCAGTATACCTGGTTCACAGGAGTATACTCCAGTATACCTGGTAAAAAAGAGTATACTCCAGCATACCTGGTTCATAGGAGTATACTCCAGTATACCTGGTTCATAGGAGTATACTCTAGTATAATATATAGCATAATATACTATACAGAGTATACTTGTTACTTTAGCCCTATTTGTTGTTACTTGAGTCTTATTTGTTGTTGCTTTAGTCTTATTTGTTGTTACTTTAGTCTTATTTGTTGTTACTTATCTATTCTAGATTAAATCAAACTTCTGATTTTTTTAAGGAACGATGGCCATTGGACATTTATCAACTACCAAAGAAATGAGATAATGAGAGATATATTTATATTCAATTAAATAAATACTAGAGTAAGATTCATACGATACTTAATGTTTCTTGGATCCAGTTTACATAGTTCAGAATATTAGTATAGACTCCAGGTACTCCCTGCTCTCCACAACCCACTCCCCAACTAAAATAATAATATTACTGTAGACTTAATGTTTTTTGGATCCAGTTTAAATAGTTCAGAATATTAGTATAGACTCAAGGTACTCCCTGCTCTCCACAGCCCACTCCCCAACTATAATAATATTAGTTTAGACTCCAGGTACTCCCTGCTCTCCACAACCCACTCCCCAACTAAAATAATAATATTACTGTAGACTTAATGTTTCTTGGATCCAGTTCACATAGCTCAGAATATTAGTATAGACTCCAGGTACTCCCTGCTCTCCACAGCCCACTCCCCAACTAAAATAATAATATTACTGTAGACTTAATGTTTCTTGGATCCAGTTCACATAGCTCAGAATATTAGTATAGACTCCAGGTACTCCCTGCTCTCCTCAACCCACTCCCCAACCAAAAATAATATTAGTAGAGACTCCAGGTACTCCCTTCTCCTCACTACCCACTACCCAATTATAATAATATAGACTCCAGGTACTCCCTGCTCTAGGCAAGCCACTCCCCAACTATTATATTATTAGTAGAGACTCCAGGCATTGCCATCTTTGCATAAAAAATTTGTTTTCTTTAATGTCAAAAACGTTTTCGTTTTTCTCCATTCAGCTGTCTCCAATTCCCAATGCAAGGCTAAACATATTCAGAATTTTACCTAATTTAGACTTTATAAAAGTTAATTAGAGTTTAAATTGAGAACATTTTATAATCTGGAAATTTAAAAAAATAATATCGATTACCAACTTAAAAAAATGTTTACCTGACGAGCCCAGCAAGAACAGCTCCGTTCTGATTCTCTTTTTCGCAGACCAGAGGTCCACCGCCATCCCCGGAGCATGCATCCTTACCCGCCTCTCCTCCTGCACACAGCCAACCATGATGCATTTTAAACCTAAATAAAGTCAATCATGATGCATTTTAAACCTATATATTATATAGCCATCCATGATTCATTTTAAACCTAAATATAGTCAATCATGATGCACCTTAAACCTATATAGCCATACATGATGCATTTTAAACTTAAATATACCCAACCATGATGCATTTTCAACTTTAATACAGCCAAGAAGTTTAAACCTAAATATAGAAAAGCATGATTCATTTTAAATCTAAGTAAACTCAACTATGATGCATTTTAAACCTAAACAATGCAATGATGCATCTTAAACTTAAATATAACTAATTATGATGTATTTAGAAACTATTTACAGCCAACCATGATGCATTTTAAACCTAGATGTAGCCAACTATGATGCATTTTAAACCTAGATGTAGCCAACTATGATGCATTTTAAGCCTGAATTTAACCAACCACAATGCATTTTAAATCTACATATAACCAACCATGATGCATTTAAACCTATATGTAGCCAACTATGATACTATGAAACCTGACCATTATGCATCTATAACGTATTTATTGCTTCTTAAGCTTAATTATACCTTACCATGCATGATGCATGAATTTAAAAATGCCCACGTATGATTCACTTTAAACAGAAGTAACCCCAAACATGATGCATCTGAAAGCATGTTTTTATACCCAACCATGATGCAATAGATATAAAACTGAAATGCAATCATGATGCATACATGATACTCCTTGTAATTCATGATGCAAACTACCTTGTTCCTAAGCCTGCATGTCTGAGAGCAGTTTCACAAACCAAGGGATCAACTATATTAACATCCACCTCCTGTAGGATAGCCTGGTACTCACCCTAAAACAAAATAAAAATACTAACAAATATTTTTAAAGCTATTTTGTTACCTTTTGAAGAAATGCATCTTTTCCCCAGCCTGTCACCCAACATTTAGAACCAGCGGGGGGAGGATACTTAAAAAAAGTTTTGTGTTAGTTTTTTGTCAAAAACGTTATTGTTTACCATTTCTCAAGTTATTTTTTTCAGAAGCACAGACTTAAATCTTTTAAAAAAACAACTAAAAAATAAACTTTGTTTAATATTTTAATCAGTCCAGATCTTTAAGAGAATTGGATGTAAACGGTCTTTAAAATCTCCAAATATCCCAAAATGCCCAGAATATTTATCTGAAAAATCTTACACTTGGTAAACAGATTGGAGACACATGGGGATAAGTATTCCAGTCTATTTCGTGCAGAAGTCTGAAATCAAGAAATCAAGAAATTAATCAAGAATCAATCAATCAATCAATCAATTAACATCTACAAGCTAACGAACAACAATCAACCAAACAACAATAACCAAACAACCTATCAATCAAATCAGCCATCAAATCAATTAATCACCCAAACAACGTACCATCAAATCAACTATTAAATTAATTAATCAACCAACCATCCAATCCACAAACTACCGAAAAAAAATCTACCTAACAAGCAACAAGTCAGCATATTAAACAACCAATTGTTCAATCAAAATTCAGTCAACCATCTAAAATAAATAAAACAAAACAGAAAACCCTTAAAAATGTCAGTACATCAGTGCACTCAGTGCACTTCAGCTTGCTGAAAAAATATCAACAAACTTTGAGTTTATTTACAATTTGTTTAGGAGGAATGTCAACACTGCAGTACATTGACGTCATTGACAAATCAACCAATCAATCGATATATTAAGTTGATGATTTTTCAATGAATCAAATCCTACTTTGACCAGTGTGTGTAGTAAACTTAAGGTTATGGTTTATTACTATTAATCTGTAGTGCAGACTGCTAAGAAACTGGTTTATTGTTTACACTTCTATTCAAACCCTTAAAACACCACTTCCTGAATTTATTCTTTTAATTTCGGCCTCGGCCTTATTTCGATTTATTCTCAGTATATTGTTATAACTAATAAAAAAGCTTACTTATTTTTTACCTGATGATTGCAATATCGTTCTGTAGACTACCAGGGTAGAATCTTTCATGAATAAATATATCGCTAACAGGCAAGCTACCATGCTCATACAACTGAAAAAAACCGGAATATGTTCTAAAATTAAGATATATCCTGAGGTTTGAAATTTTAAATGAAGAAATGAACTAGATAAGATAATCCCCGAGAGTTGAACTCTAATCCTATAAACCCGTCCCTCATTGGTCAACGCTTGAACATTGCACCAATAAGAAGCAAGAATTTTAGAATTTGACCATTCAGAGATCAGTAAACTGGCATCAGTTGACACATCAATCGAGTTAAAACTCTTTAATTCAAAATTGTTTGGTGATTGAGTTCTAAGTAATGCTCATTCAAAAGTTTCCGACTGTGGACACTTGTAAGCAAGTGTTATTATAGATGCTCCTAGCAAAAAAACTGATAAATCCTTCCCCAAATCAGTCATAGATTAAAGATTTGATTTGACAATCCGTCGATTAATGATAACGTCCTTGTTTGCTACCTTTATATCAACTGATTAATCAATACCCCCTGCCTGCTACCATCAGCTGATTAATCAATACCACCCGCCCCCGGCTGCCTGCTACCTCTATATCAGCTAGATCTTTAAATGCCCCCCCCCCCCGGCTGCCTGCTCCCTTTATATCAGCTGATTAATCAATACCTACCTGTCAGTTACCTCTATATTAGCTGATTAATCAATACCCTCTTGTCTGCTACCTCTATATCAGCTGATTAATCAATACCTTCTTGTCTGCTACCTCTATATCAGCTGATTAATCAATACCTTCTTGTCTGCTACCTCTATATCAGCTGATTAATCAATTTCCCCCCCCCCCTGCCTGCTACCTCTATATCAGCTGATTAATCAATACCCCCCGTCTGCTACCTCTATATCAGCTGATGCGTCCCAGTCTCCAACCCTGACGGTTAACTCCTCCGGGAATAGAGATTTAACGCAGTGCGCCGCGGTCACAATGTGGGAACCATCCAGAACTGCGCCTCCGCAAATATATCTAGTAACAAAATCGTTAAATTTTTTCCACAAAATCATTTCAATCAAGGCATGCTTTGCAGGTCAAATTGGTCAAGGAAACTGAAAGCAAAGTAAAATTTCTTAATAACCTAAAATTAATTATTGGATTTGTTTATCCATAGATTCAGGTTGCAAACAAATTTATGGAGGGTTTATAAAACGTCAGTTATAAAAAGCCGTTTCTTTAAATGATTTTAATCCCATCACTCCCATGAAATAGGAACTTTAAAATGGACGAAATAACTCCTCCTCTCTCCTCTTCCTCCTCCTCCTGGGGGGGGGGGGGGATAAGTTGAACTTCAGTTTCCAGAAACTAAAATTAATAAACATCTAGAAGTAGTTAACTATGTAGACTTAGTTGAACCATTGCTTAAGAACCACTTAAGCACAAGAAAAAGGTGTTAACTTAGTCTTCTCTACTTCTCATTGTTAATTAAGTTCTGATACTTACTCTCCAGGTTGACCGGTAGGTTTGTTGGTAAGAATTGCAGCATGCCAAGGATATTCACCAAACTCTACAATATCAACAATATTTGGAAACTTTAAAATTAATAATATTGACAAATTAATATCATTAGTATTTTTCTCTAGTATTTATTACTCTAAGAGCACATTAAAAATCAAGGAATATATGCAAGATTAGCTTAGGACAAAATCAAGGAATCATTTACAGGATTCAGGAATCATATATAGGATTCAGGAAGTCATTTATAGGATTCAGGAATCATTTTATAGGATTCAGGAGTCATTAATAGGATCCAGGAATCATTTATAGGGTTCAGCAATCATTTATAGAATTTAGGAATCATTTATAGGATTTAGGAATCATTTATAGGATTCAGGAATCATTTTTAGGATTTAGGAATCATTTATAGGGTTCAAGAATCATTTATAGAATTCAGGATTCAATAATAGAATTCAGGAATGATTTATGGGGTTCAGGAGTCATTTATAGGATCCAGGAATCATTTGTAGGGTTCAGCAATCATTTATAGAATTTAGGAATCATTTATAGGATTCAAGAATCATTTTTAGGATTTAGGAATCATTTATAGGGTTCAGGAATCATTTATAGAATTCAGGATTCACTAATAGAATTCAGGAATGATTTATGGGGTTCAGGAATCATTTTTAGGGTTCAGGAATCATTTATAGAATTCAGGATTCATTAATAGAATTCAGGAATCATTTATAGGGTTCAGGAATCATTTTTAGGGTTCAGGAATCATTTATAGAATTCAGGATTCATTAATAGGGTTCAGGAATCATTTGTAGAATTCAGGAATCATTTTATAGGGTTCAGGAATGATTTATATGGTTCAGTAATCATTTTTAGGATTCAGGAATCATTTTAAGGGTTCAGGAATCATTTCTAGAATTCAGGATTCATTAATAGAATTCAGGAATGATTTAGAGGGTTCAGGAATCATTTAAAGGGTTTAGGAAATAATCATTGGATTCAGGAATCATTTATATGATTTCAAAATTAATGATAGGGTTCAGGTATCATTTAGAGAATTCAGGAATATACAGGATTCAGGAATCATTTATAGGGTTTAGGAATCTTTTAAAGGGTTTAGGAATCTTTTAAAGGGTTTAGGAATTATTCTTAGGATTTAGACAACATTTAGAGAGTTCAGGAATCATGTATAGGTTTAAGAAATTAGTTTTAGGGTTCAAGAATTATGTATAGTGGTTATAAGAATCATTTTTAGGATTCAGGAATCATTCAAAGGATTTATGAATTATTTATCAGGTTCAGAATTTCAGAAATCATTTACAGAAATTATTTATAAGATTCAGGAATATAGCATTCAGAAATCATGAACAGGATATACGAACTATTTATAAGATTCATGAATCATTTGTAGGGTTAAGGAATCATTTAGCGGGTTCAAAAATTATTTATAGGGTTCAGAAATTATTTATAGAATTTCAGAATCATTTACTAGGATTTAGAAATCATTTATAGGGTTTCAGAACCATTTAAACAGTTCAGAAATCAGTTAAAGATACAAAAGATCCGTAAAAATTCACAAGAGTTCAGAAATCATTATTTAAATATTCAGAACAGATTCATGGCTCAAAACAAGATTCCAAAAGTTATAAAGATCATTCATATTTTTCAGAGCTGAAACTAGACAAATCTGTTTTTTTAAGTTTCTAAAAAGAATATTTGTGTATTCCTGTATCACTGTCTAGATCCTGCGAATTCCCCCGGCCCAGCATAGCGTTCCTAAACCGTACTCCACACGCAGGAGCAGTAGAGTGATGGTCGGGACCACCGCCTCCCTCTCCACCCACACCCCGGGGAGTAGCGACAGTAGGGAGTAGAGCAGGAGCATGGTTGTCGAACAGGAACCAGCCACCGAAACAGGAGCTGGTAAACAGGAGGAGAAGGATAAACAGCATTTTAGTCTTACAGTTTTTACACAGCTGTAACCTCAAATTATTTAGAGTACTCTGTACAGTTGTTTACAGTACATATTTTATTATGTACATAGACTGGAATGTATTCTGTAAACTTAGAAATTGTAATACTGAGTAGAAATGAGGTATGGAGGATAGGGATTACTGTAACGTATTGAGACTTTTATTAGCAATGTTGACCCATACAGCAACGATTGTAAATAAGAGTCGTAAATTTCCTTGAATGGTGTTATGGCGTGGGCCAAGCTTGTTAATCACTATTTACTGACAGCTATTTGTATACTCAAGCCTGCAATTTCTCAGCAGCATCAGAGCAGTCCTTTTTCGTCAAAGTTAAATGATCACACACTCACCTTAGTTTATATCACATTAGAAAATTGATACTGAAAAGTGCCAAGGAAACGTTTTTTGATTCTATCAAAAGAGTGTTCAACTTTACAAAGAAAGAAACGAAAGGAAAAAAATTCAGAGAATTTTTACAACTCACAAACTAAATGTTGGTGTTATCCTACAGGGTGTCCCAATAAACATGGGAATTGAGAGACGAATTGACAGTCGTCTTTGATTTCTGATATTTAATGCATGGCAAAGAAAGTATAAAAACAAGGCTTTACGTCTTACGAGCTTTTGTGTCTTAAAAATTTACGTGGATATTAAATATTAAGACGATTTTGATTTATTAAATAAACTTTCTCAAAATTTTGCCATTTCTCCGTCAATCTTAAAAATACAAAAATGGTAGACCACATTTTGAAATTCTCAAGACCAGGCGTTTTCGATATTAAATATTTAAAGTGGATTACTTCAATAATTGTGTTCAGAAAAAATACCGCATGGATCGACGACAATAAAAGAGTCGTCACTGAATTGGCCCAATTTATTGGGACACCCTGTACAAAAAAATACTGATGGTTGTGCAAATTATGGTTTAGTTGAATTAATGTAATTTCAATATGAAAGAGTGAAAGAGTACAAATAAAAAATACATTTTAAAGACTTGAACCCCCCCCCCCCTCACCTTCTCTCCTCCCCCTGTTCCCCTCCCTTTTGATCCCGCTGTTACCATTTAACTTTAATTTGGAATTACTGAATTAAATTGCCGCTGATTCTAGAAAATATATCAAGTTTCAAAGATTAATGATTGTTAAAAAATATATAGGTTAATTTTACAGTTCGGCAATCTTTCGAAAACATGGTTGGTCAACTCGATATCTATAATTTTAAATTTAAGAATTAATAAACAAATTAATTCTTGTTCTTTTTTATCTTTATTTAGGTATATAACTTGATTCATAAGTAAAAATATTTAAGCCAAGAAATTTAAATGAGTAAGTTAATTCTTGCGTAAGAAAAGAAGTTAATAATTGAAATATAGATTTAAAGGTAGTATTCGCGAAAATTGAAAGGGGGTATAGGCTTACGGCGAAAAATAACCACTTTTGATTGCTACTAATCTTACTTCTATCTGTTCCGTAAGCCTATGCCTCCTTTAATTTTTTGTGAACACTCTCTTTAAGTTACCAAGAATCACTAATAATCCCTTTAAGTTACCAAGAATCACGAATGATCCCTTTAAGTTAGCAAGAATCATGAATGATCCCTTTAAGTTACCAAGAATCACGAATGATCACTTTAAGTTACCAAGAATCACGAATGATCCCTTTTAAGTTACCAAGAATCACGAATGATCTCATTAAGTTACCAAGAATCACGAATGATTTCTTTAAGTTACCAAAATCACGAATGATACCCGGATATGAGAAAGGAGCTAGGTAAATAATCATTATAACTTGGTAACATTTGTTTATGATCTGTGTAATCTATAGATATTTAGAAATTTTGATTTTTCTTTGGTTCAACATTTGTATAAACAACTTTTCTTAATAGCAGTTTTTATCTTTGCCTTTAAAAAATATATCCCGCAGAAGACTATCCAAATTCCCCCTGGTAGAGTGGGACGAAACGCCTCGAATTCCTGAGAAGAAACCCCAGTTAATAAATGTACCACCCAGTATATTTGAATGTTAACCGCGTCTAATATTATGTTTGTGTAGTTGAGTGGGTGTGCATAATGCCTAATATTTCTTCCAGAAGGGCGGGGCCTTACATAGTCCTTGTAATTCAGGGGCTTTAAAACATTGGGGGGAGGGCTAAACATAGTCCTTGTAATTCAGGGGCTTTAAAACATAGGGGATGCTATACATAGTCCTTGTAATTCAGGGACTTTGAAACATAGGGGGGTCTCTACATAGTCCTTGTAATTCAGGGGCTTTAAAACATTGGGGGGGGGGGGCTATACATATTTCTTGTAAATCATGGGTTTTTATAACAATAAGGAAGCCATTAGAAAACTATACCTACGGAAGAATACATAAGTTAACCTTTGGATCGTCACATTTTAAGAATTTCCGGTCGTCTTTACAGTCTTATCCTTTGTAGGTAACCCTGTCGGTGTTCCTAAGAATTAATGAATTGGTTAAGATTTACACAAGATAGATAAATGATTAAATTAAATGAATAATATCTCCAATGAATGAATTTGTAATTTGCATACTTTCAAAATCAAACAAAGCTCCCCAAGCAAAGAGATGACAAAAGAAATGAAGACCTCCTAGATACGAGTTTATCCCATCCCTACACCCTCCTTGAACCCTCTTTACTATATTATCCAGCTCTACCCTATATGAAGGTGTGTGTGTGGTATATTTAAACCCTGATTAAGTCTAAACCTAAATATCAGTTGTATCTACATTAATGAGAAGTTAAAACATTATATAATCCTGTATTTATAATTTATAGACAGGGTGTACAGAAACCTTTTTTACGTTTATTTTTCAAATTAAAACAATATGATTAAAAATAAAATAGATGATGGTTGAAGCAATTTTAAATTTATTTACTCAGGGCATGGACAGAAAATAAATAATAAAGGTTTCCAAGATTTAGTCTAATGTTTATTTGCAGGGCGTGAAAAAGCTAAATTGTGTAAATTTATGTAATATTATTGGTACACCCTGTATCAACCTAGGTCTGTCAAGGGTTCAAGAGTTCAGAGGTGAACGTTTAATCCCAAAAATAGTTTCTTTAAGTTCCACATCTTATCAAAGTATCTGTAGAAATTTGACCTTTAACTTAAGATTAATAACCCCCCCCCCCACCTCCCCTACAACCCACTCCCCACCCCTAGTACCCCAATCCCCTCATCTAGCTCCAATTCTTAACTTCATGAAGACCTCCTGAGTCTTCCGTCCTAAATAAGAGAATTTCACTAAAAATATAACGGAATTGGATCTTAAATTCTTTTTAAGGGGAGTGACCGGCAATTTATGGTAGCTGAACTGAGTATTGCGGAGAAATTTTGTAGGATTCATTTTAGATATACAAACTGTTTTGATGATGTATAATTACTGAGTTAAGGAGCAAAGTCGACTTTCAAAATCATCCATTTGGGTGGCTATGTTTGAAAATTGATTTTTTTTAAATTATTAAATAACGACGACAAGAATGTTAAAAAATTCTATAGTAAACTAATTAGATGTTTAGGGACATATTTCTCAGTTGAAATTTTCTCGATAAATCAATGTTAGAATCAATTATTTCTTTTTCGTCATTATATTGAATTTCTTAAACATTATGAATTTGTCGCAGATTTCATCAAATTCTCCAAATGCCGTCTTTTCAATAAAAATTCCAGGAAATCTACAGAAAATGTTTGTGAATAATGAGACGTTACAGAAACCAATAACTAAATAAGATTTTTTTTCGATGATAATAGTTAATTTTATTTTCTCAACCTTTTCCTCAACAACTAATTAGTTTACTGTAGAATTTGTAATACATTTTTCGTCGTTGTTATTGAATACTTTTTTTTAAACCGATTATCAAAATCATCCCTAAAAAATAAACATTTTATGAGGATTTTAAAGATTGAATTTGCGCTCTTGCTGAACAAATATGCACAGTAAAACGTCTCATAGGTTTCAAATAATTCCTAAAAAATGTCTCCCCATTCTCAGTTCAACTACTAAACATTGGCGGTCACGCCCTTTAAACCACAATCTTAAGGTCAAATATGGTGCTCTGCATGAAATAAAATTGTGATGTTCTTAAGTTGACCTAACAATAAAATATGCTAAATGAACCAGAATGTACGTTCTCTGAAGTCTGAAGTTTTATAGACAACCCTGCATATCCCTGAAAGTACAATAACTAACCCTGCTATCCTGTAGTCTGGAAGAACTAGTATTTTTTAACCTTTTTATATTAGATTTTAACAATATTGTAATAGATAATGGTCCTAGCATAGCGCTGCGGCTAGGACAGGCTAGGGGGGCTGAGGCCACATGATCAATTATACAAAATGTACAAAATTTTTAGGAGGGGGGGGGTCCAAAAATCGTTTTCTAGGAAATTACCAGTATAACCAAGAATCTATCCCTGCTATCCTATAGTCTAAAAGAACTTGTTTACACATGAAAGGGCTATATTTATCCCTGCTATCCTGTAGTCTGGAAGGACTAGTATAACCATGAAAGGACTATATCTATCCCTGCTATCCTGTAGTCTGGAAGGACTAGTATAACCAAGAAACTATCCCTGCTATCCTGTAGTCTGTAAGGACTAGTTTACACATGAAAGGACTATATCTATCCCTGCTATCCCGTAGTCTAGAAGGACTAGTATACACATGAAAGGACTATATCTATCCCTGCTATCCCGTAGTCTAGAAGGACTAGTATACACATGAAAGGACTATATCTATCCCTGCTATCCTATAGTCTAGAAGTGTACCTCTAGGCTGTATATTTGAATATTTAATGTCACCACTAGATATCATTCTAGCTGATTAAACATAATCATATTCTATCATGGGATGATGCAACAAATAAATGTAAACACAACTTCGGAGACTGCAAAGTTCTAAAAATGATTATAATTGCATCGACTTATTCTTAGCTGTTCAGATTTGAAAAATCGGGTTAACATTATAATTGCATCATCTTCCAATCTTGGGAGCATAGCTTTTTGGTTTCGTTTATGACATAGATATGGAAATTGCC